TGAGCTCTGTGACTTTGGCCAAATCACTTGTTTGGGCCCCAGTTTCTCATCTATACAACGAGATTGGACAAGATGATTGAAAAGAACTCATGCAGTGTATTTTGATTTAAAATGGAAAGCAGAATAGCCCTAGGGGAGCAATGAGGTCCTTCTTATTTTTTTCTTTTGACTCTACTGCTCAGGAGGAAAGTTTGAGTATATGTGTGTAGGAATGTGTGTGCATGTGTGTTGGAGGGAGGGTAAGGGCACTCTACATGTACCATTGTTGTTGGTCAGTCACTAAGTCTTGTCCTACTCTTTGCAACCCCGTGGACTGCAGCATGCCAGGCTTCCCTGTCCTTTACTGTCTCCCAGAGCTTGCTCAAATTCATGTCCATTGACTTGGTGATGCCATCCAACCATCCCACCCTCTGTCGCGCCCTTCTCTTCCTGCCCTCAATCTTTCCCGTCATCAGAGTCTTTTCCAATGAGTCAGCTCTAAGAATGTTCACAAGACCACAGGTGTAATTTGAAATTATATAAATAAATTTAGTCTTTAATTGCCATGCAAAGGAATTCTGAAGGTGAGTGCTTTGTAAACTGAACAATTACTGCCACATGTATCTGTCCTGTAAGCACTCATTATCACTTGTTGGGGGCTTGCTGCAGTGCTGAATGCCACGCTGAGCTTCATAAATGTGTGCATGAATTCACAGCTAGAATCATGCAGCATCAAGGGTCTCCACAGTTTAAACTAAGAACAGAGATAAGGAAGCTTCCACAAAATGAGCCTGAAATGCTGCCGAACTCTGATAGGCTTTTTGCACCATGGAAGCCCGGTAAACCTTGCCCAGGTAAATTTTTAAAATGTTCATAAAGATGCTTTACTGAGCATTAAATTTTTGAACAGTTAGGAAGCCCTCAATAAACTTCAATTGGGTGGTTGGACAGGATGGGGGAAAATCTCTCTGAACTAGAAACTTGGACTTAATAGAACATCCCAATCTCGAAAACTTCATGCCGCTGGCCCACCCTCTTACGTAACTGAGGGAAGCAGGACAGTGCGTAGGAGAGAGCTCTGGAAACCACTGGACTGATGGCCAGGCAAGCAGCGCACATTGACCAAGCAGGCCCAGGTCGTGGAGAAGCTTCTAGAGACGTGGTCCTGGTGAGTGGGGAGAGAAGAGGAAAGCCAGGGTGTGCTATTGTGCCCTCCAATGCCCACCTCCCCAAACTCAGCAACTGACAGTCACTGGGGCTTCCAGTTCTGGACTTCAAAGCATTTGGAAAATGTTCATAAACATGTTCAGGATCCCATGGTGTTAGTAAAACATTTTTATAAGATTATAAAATAAAGAAAACTGGCACAGGTTTTGTTTGAACAAGTGTGCCGGTCATTCCTTTTCCTAACATGAGAGACTCTTAAACAAGTCTTAGTAATTGCTCTGTGGGAATTTGGCCTCTTAATTTTTGAAAACACAATAAAATCAAAGCAAATCTCTAAACCCTGTAGATGAGAGACCCTAAACCTCAGACAAACGGGGAGAGAGTTTTGGATGAAAGATGGCTCTGCTCAGGCTATGGTGTGAGAAACAGAACTAAAAAGGAGATAATGGGATTCTCACTTTGATCCTTGGTTATACCGGAAGATGAGCGTTTTGGAGGGCTTCTTCATCCAAAGAGCCCCTACTGCTTCTCTAGACAGTCAGTAGACCTAACCATTCATAAACTAGTTGTTTCCACAGAAGCAAGGCATCAAACATCCTGGTTGAGGGGAATTCATGTTACTTGCCTCTTTTAAAAACACTTCTTTTGTTTGAGTTTGGGCGCTGTTTGTTTGAGTGCGGCCTTCTCTCTGGTTGTGGTGAGTGGGGGCTCCTCTCTAGCTCTGCAGGCAGGCTCCTTGTTGCGGTGGCTTCTCGTTGCCGAGCTCTGCCTCCAGGGTGCTTGGGCTGCGGTAGTTGCAGCACTCGGGCTCAGTAGTTGCGGCTCCTGGGCCCTAGAGCACAGGCTCAGTAGTTGAGGCACATGGACTTAGTTGTTCTGCAGCCTATGGGTCTTCCCAGATCAGGGATTAAACCCATGTCTCCTGCATTTCCAGGTGAATTTTTTTTTTTCCAACCTTTGAGCCGCCAGAGCCACCCTAATTGTCACTTTTAATAGCTAAAAACTTAAGGGAAAGACAGGGTGGAAACACAATTACTTTTTTCATGACAAAATACAATATGAATTATACACAATTTCTTCCTCCTGGCCTTTAGGTAATTTTCTAAAGTCCCAGAAATCTCTGCCCTGCATCTGTTAGGATTTAAGCATGGATGGGGGATGCCAGGATGGAATTATTGCTTTAGGAAGTTGTGGCCAGAGACCCTCATCTTCCTGGCCTTTTTTTTACTAGTTTCAAAGGCATGCCTCCCAGTGGGCGTGTGTGTGGTCAGTCGTGTCCAACCCTTTGTGACCCAGTGGACTGTAGCCCACCAAGCTCGTCTGTCCATGGGGATTCTCCAGGCAAGAATATTGGAGTGGGTTGCCATTTCCTCCTCCAGGAGATCTTCTCAACTCAGGGATCAAACCTGTGTCTCTTGCGTCTCTTGCATTGGGGGGGCGGGGGGGGGGGATTCTTTACAACTGAGCCACCTCGGAAGCCCTTAAAGAGGGTATCGGCTGAAGTAAATAGTCTTAAAATGAGCAGCTGAAGCTCCTCTCAGGGAAGTTGGAAGGACTGTGTTCTTCCTTCCAGGAAAAGAGAACAATGGGAGGAGATTTATTCAAGCAGTCAGTAAGTGGCTCTCTGATAAGAGGCAGCCATAGAGTTGAGTCCCTATGTTTCTAGTTAATGACCAGGCGCAAGGAGGGGCAACAAGATCAAAGTTTCTTTAGGGCAAAATTGCTGACATTCCTGAAAGAGCCCCAGATTCCTCACATCCCAGTAAACCGGAATCAAGTTCACTGGCCTGTGAAGAGGACCCATTACAGCCTTCAGTTCTTTTGTTACCTTGACTTTTAGCTCATTGTCCTGTCTGACCTCCTCTTAAACTGAAGAGTAATGACTGCTGATCTGACCATTGTTCTCTGCAACCCAAGATGGCAGGGGTCAAGATCTGTGGCTACAGAGAATCTGATTCTCAAGGAAGTCTTAATGAAGGCTCCATTCGTGCGGTTAAACATTCAGACACATAAAGACAGCTCGCATGTAAAAGTAATCTCTAAGGAAAATCAAAGGAAGCGAGACTCATAATTGTCCCATTAAGGTTTTCAGGGGTTCCAGAGATGATAACACACATACAAACTTCAAAAACCAAGAACCTTCTCAGGGTCCTGGGTGTAGTACCTAGCAATAGTACCATTTGCCCTGCTGGGGCCACATATCCATGCCCAGCGTCTTTTGGTATGCTACCTTCCTATCTTTACTGTTGCTACCAGTTTTCGAGGTGTCAGAGGGAGTCAGGTTCCACGTTGCAATGAAGAGACTAATTTTCCTCTCCACTCGAGGACTCATGGCCTAAAACAGCAAGGTTGCTGCCCAGAGTCTCACAAAGTCCTTCAGTCGCTGTTCTAACCCACTCCCCTGGGAGCTTAGTTAACACCAGCCTAAGAGAAGGGCTGGAAATACAGGACAGGCTCTCCTCCTAGCGAGGGGTCTCTTGTGCTCTGTCAGGAATGGGAACTTTGAAAAACAAACACCAATGTACAACCTCTCAACTTTCTTTTCTGCATTTAGCCCCTAAAACAAAATTTTCCATGCCTATCAACTCAAGACACATATATGCTAGAAATAACAATAATCATTATTAATATTATTGAATGTTAATAATAGATGGGACTTCCCTGTTGGCTCAGATGGTAAAGAATCTGCCTGCAGTGCAGGAGACTCAGATTCAATCCCTGGGTTGGGAAGATTCCCTGGAGAAGGAAATGGCAACCCACTCCAGTATTCTTGCCTGGAGAATCCCATGGACAGAGGAGATGGCGGGCTACAGTTCATGGGGGTTGCAAAGAGTTGGAAACGACTTAGAGAATAACATTTTCACTTTTTTTACTTTTAATAATAGATAGCCCAGCCTTTCAGTTCTGAATATTGATTGGCCATTTTGGAGCACAAATGGAATCCTGTGCTTATCATCTTACAGTAGTGAAAACCAAGACAGGAAGTGATTTTATCTGTGGTCATGTAACAACTAAGAGAAGGCTGGCTCAGATACCAAGCTCTTGAGGTCATCACGATACAAGCTCCCATAAATTGCTGATTCAGTGTTCATTCAGTTGAGGGAGGTAATCATCAGTCCATTCTAGTATTTGAAAAAAGCAAATAATAAACTCCATCTGAATTGTAATACTGGTGGCCCTCCATAGGCTGTATTAGAGGAGAAACACCACAAGGTTTCCAGACAGTATTTCTTACTAGTAATTTTATGGTTTCCCGTTAAGATTTTTTAGCAGGAGAGGCTGTCATGGAACACTGGGAGACTTCTCAAAAGGTATTTCAGGGTTGTGCCTGGGAAGGTTAATGAAAGTATGTGTCCAAAGGATTCTGCTGTGTGCAGTGAGGGGGTATGCAATCCATCAAACCAAAGCATAATCAAAGGCATAATAGGAGGAAATATAATTATAACTTATACTTACTCTTAGAGTCCAGACCTCACGCTTGCAACCTCCCACTTCAAACTCAAATGAAAATGAAAGCAAATCTGCTGTATTTCAGACAAAAGAGCATTGGATTTATGAGTGAGAAAGTTGATGAGGGGGGTGGGTCTATGGGGAAGACTTAATTGTAGGACTGAAAGAATCCACTGAGTAAACCACTCCAAGCATTATAGAATCCAGACCCAGCCCTGTTAGCATAATGGTCCCACCAATTTCCAGAAACATAATAACCCATCAGGTGAGAGAAGTTTGTTCTACTCACTAAAGGCTCTACTTCGTATTGACTCCAGTTCAATAACATTCCCACATATCTGGAAATAAACAGTACATTCATTCTCTCTCCTTTAATATGCTCTTAAGAGAGTAAACCTCCAGGGATGGAACCTCAGGCGGCCACTTTTAGCCCAGATCATCTTTCTATTCCAGTAGATGCTAGGGCTGCAAGAGGTATGATCTTTCACAGCCCCAAGAGCCAGATACAAAAAACCTAAAGTCTCAGAAACAAGCCACAGGGACAAGGGAAGGCTTTGGGCAGTAAGAGGAGGGGAATGTGCCTCGCTGACATCACAGGTCAGCGTCACTCAGAGGACAGGCCTGCTGTGCTCCACCCAGGGCTGTCTTAACTCACGCTGCCATGACGCCTTCTGGACCCGGCCTTCTTCCTCTACTAGTCCAGTGGGCCCCAGGCCTTCCATCTCAGAAAAGGTCAAGGTGGTTTTTGTACCATAAGACCCATATCCTGTGTCGTGTGATGGTAAAGGGCCACTGCAGTGTCCCTAGAGTATCTGGGGTGGAGAACTGTCTCCTGTGAACTCTGAGATCTGGGAACCCTGGGATCTGGGGCAGAAAAGAGCAGAGAAGTGCCCTGGACCCACTAGCTGCTATTCTGTCCTCACCGCTAGACATCTGGAACACAGGCCTTTGGCCAAGCAGTCTGTCAATGAGTAGGTGGACAGGCAACCATATTTTCATGGAGTGTCTATGGAGGTCATGGACACATAGTAGAGCAGAGACAGCTTCTGGCTAGTACTGTCCACTCCACACTGGCTTAGAAAGAAAAGCTACTGACCCCACGGTCCCTTCCTGGTGGCCTCCAGCTAAGACTGACTGCAATCCCTGTGGCTTCCCCGCCAGTGATTTTTCCTTCCTTGCCTCGTAGAGATTTCCACTATGACTTTTCCAGAAATAGCCCAGCAGACCTTAGAGAGGCTGTGATTACTAAGAGAACTTTAAAAGAGGGTTTTTTAAGTCAATCTCCACTCCCTGCCCAGACACACCCACCCCTACCCACTCCAACACACACACACACACACACACACACACCCCAACAACCCATTCACAGAATTTACCAGTTAATAAAGGCAGGGAAAACCTTCCTGAGGCTGAACCTATTTGGGGAGATTGTCACCTATATTCCTTATATCCAAGTTTTTTCCTTAGCCAAAAGTTGCTTGAAATGAAGTAAAAGTCTCTCAGTCATGTCCAACTCTTTGCGACCCCAAGGACTGTAGCCCACCAGGCTCCTCTGTCCATGGGGATTCTCCAGGCAAGAATACTGGGGTGGGGAGCCATTTCCTTCTCCAGGGGAACTTCCCGACCCAGGGATCGAACCTGGGTCTGCTGCATTATAGGCAGATTCTTTACCATCTGAGCCACCAGGAAAGCCCAAGAGTTGCTTGATGAATTTTAAATATGCATTAGGATAGCATCTCAGAACTTTGAAGGGACCAGATTATTTGAACAGGGGTTAAGAAAAAAAAAAAAAAGGAAAGAGAAGGATCAAACAGGGAGCTAAGGAAATCCCTGATCCATGCAGTCAGAGCGGGCTGGGCTGCAATTTTCTCCTCAAAGGTATGTAACACTAATTGCCTCCACCCAGAGTAATGTTCTAAGCAGCAAATTAAGAAGCTTAAAAAGAAACAACCCTCAGTCACTGTGGATTAGTGGATGAGCAGCTTGGTAGTGTAAGAGCCTGATTGATGTGATACAAGGCTGGATGTGAGAGCTGGAGGCAGAGCCCATGCTGCCTCTGAAATGATGAGCAGCCCCTAAGTCAGAACTGGAAAGGAGCAGCTTGGGGGTTTTCTGGAAGCTTCACTAAGGAGATTTATGTAAGCAGACGTTTTTCTAGACAGCCCAGTCAGCCACTTGGAGAGCACCAGGGGCTGTTCCTAAAGATGTTGCCTTTCAGCGGATTTAGGTCAACTACACTTAGACGGAAAATTTGAGGCTTTGCCTTTGTTCTTAAAGGAGTTGAACAAGTTCACATAAAATCATTCTTCTTCATCCAGATGCGGTGCAATAGAGTAGGGACAGAGAAATCCTGCAAGGACTATCTCCCTGGGCGAATTCCTTTGAGACTTTGGATCTTCCTTTCCTGGTGCTTCCTTGTTCTACAGTTTTCAATAAATGTGGTCCTAATAATAAAGGCTAACACTTAATTGAATGCTCATTTTCTGGTAGATTCTGTTTGGGCCTCACATTTACGTTTTTTAATCTTTAAAGTGCTCCATGTAGTAAGTACTATGGTTACACCTATTTTAAAGGAATGGAGACATTGTGTAACCCACCAAAAGTCTCATAGCTACTAAAAGAGACGGGGAAGAGATTCAACCAGAGCTTGAGGTCTTGACCATAATGTGTGTTTTTATATTTATATTGGGGAACTTCCAGCATTGTCATCTGGTCCCGCGGAATCAAGTTGTTTTCTCCATGAACACACATCTGCATCTACATGCACTTATGTCTCTGGTACCTCCCTGGGCCTTTCTGAGTCTCCACTCTCAGGGTTCTGTCTGCTGCCCAGAGTGAACTGAAATTTGCCCACCTAAAGCCAGCATCTGGGGGAAAGACTGCTTTCCATCTTGAGGGGCTCTGGGTGACACCCCCCCCCCCACACACACAGCATCCACTCTTGGTGCTCGCCTCTCAGGAACCAGGAAGGGGGCAGCTTCTAGGACACTGGCGGTGCTCTCTTCAGATGGTCATTATGAGGGCGTTTTCACTTGTAAAAATTATAGTCATGTTTTTCGTACTTTATTATGTTCTATGTCAGTAAAAAAGCTTATTTAAGAATGAAAGGGGGCAGTGAGCCCGAGCATCAAAGTCAGAACAAGTCAGAAGCATGAGGAGGGTGACGTGCTCCCTGAGTTCCCCAGAACGGAGGTACCAGTAACCCTACTGATAGCTGTTTTCCTGGCAGCAGCCATGTTGGAAGAAGGTAAGCGGGGGAAAGAGGAAGGAATGGAGAATGAGTGTGGGTCATTCTTTAGAGACGCTAGCCTGAAAATGGTGCTCACTGGAGGGGCAAGAAGGAGCCCAGAAAAGATTTTGTTTTAAATGGAAAACACTCGAGCCTCTTGAAGATCTAATGGGAAGCATCCAGGGAGAGGAACTGATTTTATATAACGGGAAGATACCTGGTTTTATATAACTGGTTGATAGGGTGTGGTGCCTAAGAATGTGACAGGAAATGGAGTTCAGACACAGGGTATTGGCTTTATATTTGAGGAGGGCACTTCTGACCTCCTGTCCCACCAACTGTTTGGGCCACTCATCTGATCTGTGCGTGTGACACCCCATGTTGCGGTGTCTCTATTTACACATACGATTTTTATCTTTCAGTGAAATCCTGTTGCGTACCACGACTATGAGGCCTGGTATTCCCACTGATTACTTAGCACAATGCTTTGTATGCTGTAGGTGCTCAGTAAGTGTGCTATGGTAATAGATGATGGCAATGGTGTAAGAAGAGCAAAAAGGGAGTACATTGATTTGTTAGGACCTGATATGAAGCTTAAAGTGAGATAAAAGAGAATTCCCTTCAGATAGACTGACATTTGTTTTTATTTCTGTAGTGCTTGCATCTGAAAAATGGGATGAAAGGGTCAGGGCAGTCACCACATGGGCCACCCCAAGTTATGCAATCAGGAGATGTAATTCTCTGCTCTGATCCCTTTTCAGACTATGATATCACCCTTTCTTAGTCTTCAAAGTGCTTTTCACAATTCAGACAAAACATGTTCAGAGAACTTAAGCAACCTGTCCAAGGTCACACAGCTATAGACAGAAGAGTGCCAAGTATCCAGTTCTCTTTCCCCAGCAGCTCCTAACCCATCTGCCTGCACTGACCATGTGTTCCAGATGGACTGCATATGCTGCGGTGTGAACGTGCCAATCGGGAAATCTGAAATGTGTGTTTGATCAACGAAGGCAAGGACTCGGTCCTTGGTGAAAACCCACTTTTCCCTTTGACTTGTCTCTCCAGACATACTTGTATTATGATGACAATTAGTAATTACACGGAGTCTTTCAACCTTAAAGCCCTCAAACTCCTTTCAGATGAGTGCCTTCTGTTTGGCTCCGTGAGTCACACTGCAGGCTCCGGCCTCATGGAGATGGGCTAGCTGTGGGACCTCTACTGTTGGAGCATGGGTAGAAAATCCAAAAGAGAGAAAAAAGTCTGTAGGCGAAATCTTTACGCCACGCATGTCTGGGTTTATTGTCACAGACGTTTGGATCATAACATTTCAAGCAACAGTGCGCCGTACAGTTTGATTACAGATTGCAGTTAATTTTCTCCTTGCCTTTTCTTTATGTCAGTGATATAACAATTAAGTGAAAAATGAGAAGGGCCTGTTTTGTACTTTCTCTGGGTCTGAATTTCACAGCATCTTTCTGTGTTAACATTTTCTTTCTTACTAACGTGGCTTTTTTCTTTTTTTTTCATTTGAAATCTAGTGGGGATGATTTATGGAGAAGGTACAGCGGCCCCAGACACCATGGCACTTTCTGTAGCAGGTGCTGTGATGCTCTGCCCAGCAGTCCCCAACCTTTTTGGAGCCAGGGACCAGTTCTGTGGAAGATATTTTCCCATGGATGGGGTACAGGGGATGGCTTCAGGATGATTCACGTGCATTACATTTATTGTGACTTCATTTCTATTATCATTGTATCAGCTCCACCTCCCAGCAGCAGGCATGAGACCTGGAGGTTGGGGACCTTGCTCTACTCCATGTCCCCTCCCTCTGCTCCCCTCCGAGTTCACTGCAACCCATGTCGAGCAGCCAGCCCTCTGCTTTCCTTGGCTTCCACCTGCCTGAGTCCTCTTTGTGGCACCAAGGATACATCTTGGCTCTCCCAGAGCCATGCGAAGTTCTACAGGGTGAGCACTCCTGGGGAAATCTTCAACCGTGGATAAGTGACCTTGGCTCCCCCTCTCTGCCGAGATAGTCCTGGGATGCGTTCTAAATGCTCCTCAGAGCATCCTAGTGGGATCAGTCCCCCTTTGCCAAAGGAAGAGACCGGCAGCTCTCATCCCTTCCGTTCACCTCCCCACCCACACAGGGTGCTTCCTGGACTTATCTCCCAAGTCATTACCTTCACACAAGTCCTCATTTCAGTCTCTGCTTTTGCATGGTTCTCATACAGAGACCCTTCCTAAGTCAATGTTCTTCAACTTGTCTGTCAGTACTGAACTGAATTTGGGCTTTCCTTGTGGCTCAGCTGGTAAAGAATCCGCCTACAATGTGGGAGACCTGGGCTCGATCCCTGGGTTGGGAAGATCCCCTGGAGAAGAAAAGGTTACCCACTCTGGTATTCTGGCCTGGAGAACTTCATGGACTGTATAGCCCATGGGGTCCAAAGACTCGGACATGACTGAGAGACTTTCACTCACTCACTGAACTGGAGTTCAGGGCTGGACACAGCCAGCATTTCAAACAATAGGAAATTCCATTGTGTGTCCCAGTTTGTAAGAACTGTATCATAGACACTTTGGTTCAGTTCCATATATGAATGTATACTTGGTCATGATAAGAATTTATCTCTTCCTGTGGGTGGTGGTCAACAGAGTTTCTAAGGGCTTTTGACATTCTACTTGTGAAAAGCCAACATAATTTCAATAAGGGAAGTGAGATCAGAGAGAAGACGAAAACAACAGCATCTGAATTTGGAAGTGGCATTTCCCACGGGATGAAGACATGCAAAAAGCCTGACTGCAGGCCTTAGCTCTGTGGCAAAAGTGCTGTGTGCTGTGCTTCAGGTCCTGTAATCCCCACACTTCCTTTCCCACATTTCTAAATTGAGGGGCTTCTAGGGGAGGAAAGATGCTTCTTTTTATTCTTTTTCTCTTCCCATCTTGGGTTTATTGTCTGGGGCTTTGCAAATTAGACTGTTGAAGGACAGACTAACAGGAGAAAAACAATCAGAAGTTTATTAATGTGTGCATCGGAGTGAACTCATGGGAGACCTCGAGGTGGATAAAGGGCTGGTTAGAACTTGGGCTTACGTAGCATCTTAACAGAACAGTAAGTTTACAGAGAAATGACAAAGAGAAAGGGTGTTAGGCCTCTGGGAGCAGCGGCCTCTGGGAAGGTACATGTACAGCGGAAACTAATGGAAGAGAAGGGTTGCTTTTCACAAGGTTTGTTGTCCAGCTGCCTGCGGTGTCCTCTCTGGGGTGACAGGATTCTGAAATTGTCTGTGGTGATTAAGAACTGTCCCGCCCTTCCTGATAGAGAGGGGTGGGCTGAAAATTTTGCTTGTGTCTGTGTCTTTCAACTTCCTTCAGCTCAAATTACCCCGTATGCCAGAGTGGCATCTTCTGGGGGGAATGGTCCATACCCCTTCCTGCTCAGCCACGCAATCTGTGGAGTTCTCATTAGTTCTGAAACTCTGGGTGTCCAGGCCATTCCTATGCAAACCCACCTGGGCTGCTGTCCCCAGCCTCAGCTTCACGAGTGGGTCAGAGGGCAGGGGCCCTCCCCCGGGGGCACGGAGGGAGAGCAGACGAGAGGCCCCTCTCGGGAGTGCTCATCCTGCTGCAGGAGGGGAGGGCCCGCAACCGCAGATAAGCAGGGTCACAGCAAGGCTGCAGGGCAGAACGGGGCAGGGGGCTCACCTAGGGAGCGGCGCCTGGAAGGCATGGATGGGAGGGCGGGCAGGCTCAGGGGAGCAGCGGGTGTCACCGAGAGGGGGCTGCTGGGCAGTGCAGGGCCTCAGGGCTGTCCTCTGCTCCCCTTGATAAAAAGAGAGCTGCCTTGGAAGGAACTGGGCAGCGTGGAGGACAGTACCTGGAGGAACACAGGCCATGTGGTTGCTTGGACGCCAAAGGAGAGCCCCCTGCCCCCTGCGCTGAGTCACAGTGCTCTCTGAGCTCAGAGTTTGGTCCAACATTTTTCCACCATTGCCCCAAACCCACACTCTGTTTCCAGCCCAGGGTTTAGCATACATTAAGCTCAGCACATACATGTTTTATGAATATTGCAAAGAATACATGCTATAAACACACACACACACCTCTCTGTGTGGCTCCCTCCTTCCCACATGTCACCCGGCAGCCTGGGCTACCCTGAGGTCTTTCCTCCTCTCTATTTCATGTCCTTCTCTTCTTACAGACTCTGCTCAGTACTCAACTTCTGTGATGTTTCCTTCACTTTCCCATCTCTGCACCAGGCCCAGCAGGCAGGAAGGCTACATAACTTGGCACAGTACTGTAGGGATTCACACTCATGGATCTGTCTTTCATTATTCATGCGCTTAACAGCCAATCCTTCTTTGCTACTAGGTGATTTTAAGGAATGAAAAAAAAGAACAGGGCCCCAAATCCTTCCTTATCGATCAGATGATATAATTCAAAGAAGAAAGAAAGAAAAAAATCCCACAAAAATGAGTGTGCCACTGAAGAGCATCATGATGATTCTGTGAGAAATCAAGTATGGTCAGGAGGGTGAAGAATTTAACACTCATTAAGTGACCACTGTATGTGAGGCATTCTTGTAAGAACTTCACATGTATTGATACATTTAATTAAAGCTATGAAGTAGATCATCGAAAAAGCGAGAGAGTGCCAGAAAAACATCTACTTCTGCTTTATCGACTATGCCAAAGCTTTTGACTGTGTGGATCACAACAAACTGTGGGAAATTCTTAAAGAGATGGGAATAGCAGACCACCTGACCTGCCCCCTGAGAAATATGTGTGCAAGTCAGGAAGCTACAGTTAGAACTGGACATGGAACAGACTGGTTCCAAATCAGGAAAGGAGTGTGTCAAGGCTGTATATTGTCACCCTGCTTATTTAACTTATATGCAGAGTACACCATGCAAAATGCTGGGCTGGATGAAGCACAAGTTGGAATCAAGATTGCCGGGAGAAATATTGCTAACCTCAGATACACAGATGACACCACACTTCTGGCAGAAAGTGAAGAAGAACTAAAGAGCCTCTTGTTGAAAGTGAAAGAGGAGAGTGAAAAGTTGGCTTAAAGCTCAACATTCAGAAAACTAAGGTCATGGCATCTGGTCCCATCACTTCATGGCAAATTGATGGGGAAACTGCAAACAGTGAGAGATTTTATTTTTGGGGGGGGCTCCAAAATCACTGCAGATGGTGACTGCAGCCATGAAATTAAAAGATGCTTGCTCCTTGGAAGAAAAGTTATGACCAACCTAGCTAGACAGCATATTAAAAAGCAGAGACATTACTTTGCCAACAAAGGTCCATCTAGTCAAAGCTTTAATTTTTCCAGTAGTCATGTATGGATGTGAGAGCTGGACTATAAAGAAAGCTGAGTGCTGAAGAATTGATGCCTTTGAACTGTGGTGTTGGAGAAGACTCTTGAGAGTCCCTTGGACTGCAAGGAGATCCAATCAGTCCATCCTAAAGGAAATCAGTCCTGGGTGTTCATTGGAAGGACTGATGCTGAAGCTGAAACTCCAACATTTTTGGGCACCTGATGTGAAGAGCTGACTCATTTGAAAAGACCCTGAGGCTGGGAAAGCTTGAAGGTGGGAGGAGAAAGGGATGGCAGAGGATGAGATGGTTGGATGGCATCACTGATTTGATGGACATGAGTTTGAGTAAACGCCGGGAGTTGGTGATGGACAGGGAAGCCTGGCGTGCTGCAGTCCATGGGGTCACAAAGAGTCAGTCATGACTGAGCAACTGAACTGAACTGATGAAGCAGATGCCATTTGTATCCCTGTTTTGTAGGTGAGGAGACTGAGGCACAGAGAGGTTGAACAACTTGCCCAGGGCTGCACAGATGCCAGGTGGCTTTTGAGATGTGAACACAGGGCATCTGACTCCAAACTGTGTTTTACTCACGACACTGTAAGATCTCTCATGCCTGTAGGAGTGGAAGAGCAGGAAAAGCTTCATGGAGGATGGGGCATGGACCGTGAAACAACAGGCAGGAGTTGGAAACAGCAGGGCAGACACTTCAGCTGAAGAGTAGGAGTGTTTTCTGAACGCCAGCACATCCACAACAGTCCTAAGGTCTGGGACCAGGTGGTCTGTTTCTTTTGTAAGGCTTAATGTTGCCAAGTGAAGGATTCAATCCCCACTTGTGAAAGGGTCAATTTATTATGTTTTACATTTGACGTTCTTAATTTTTTTCTTTTTTCCCTTTTCTTCGTGAGGCTTAGCTGCAAGATGTAAGAGTTTGGGAAGCTTTGACTGCAGGGCAAGAGAGAGGAATGTATTCTGGGAATGTAGGATTTCTTCCTCTGGACCCGCTTCCAGTGGAAATCCCCGTGTACGTCATGTCTCCCATCTGTCTGCTGAAACACGAAGATAAATACCACGACAAGCGAGATAGGGAGAGGTTTTTAAAACACCCAAGGTTCTTGAAAGCAGAGAATTTCGTAAGGCTTAAGAAAGGCTTTTTTTCCTCTCAGATTCATTTCTCCAGGGACTGTTAACTGCCTCCAGACTTCAGAACCCCTTTGAGGGACCAGGATGTAGCAACTGGTAAAACCATGTTCAGTCTATGAAGCATCCCAGAAGCACTGAGAGGCCAATTCCTCAAAAGAAGACATGCAAAGGGCGGTTATAAAGTGCAGGGCAGGGAAAAGACAGCAAACACATTCGCCTGCAAAGAGCTGTGTGAGGATCACAGGTGTAACACACAAGCTTTGGGCTGGCGCCTAAGAAATGCAAAGTCTGAGTGCTTCTCAAATACAGAAGCCATGTCCATGCAGCCTGGCCCTAAAGCATCTCCGTGTTATCGGGTCCTGCGCTGGGCTCACCGACTGCCTAATTACTCTTGTACGGCTCCTCCTACTTTCTCCCTTTCATTTGCTGCAGCCAGGAATTATGAGCCTGATTGTTCCAGGCTGTTTCTTGAACATTCATGTGTTTCCCCTAACTGGAAATATTACTTGGTGCAGCCGCCTCCCTTCTGGGACTGGAAAAGAAGATATTTTGTAAGCGCATCTCATCCTCTGAAACACACAGGGGGCCACTTTCCCCTGACCCTTCCCACACACTCTCTCCTCCTCCTCTGAATGCACAAACACTTCCTTCCAGTGCTACGCTCACCCCAGAGTGATAAAGAATGGAAACCTAGCTAGAGATGAGTTTCCCCACTGAGATGAGTCTGTTGAATATTAAATACAGGACATATTTATTCAGTATTCAAGCTTAGGAGCAGGGACTGGCCCCTGCCTCTGAAAGCATCTGAATCCAAAGGCAGTAGAAATGTATATTTCAACTGACCAAGAGTCAGAGATCTGAGTTGCTACAAGGTAACTCCTTCAGCAGAGCACAGTGTGGGCGAGAGCCCCGGCACGGCCAGCTTGGCTATTCCAGTAGCCAGGTGGCTGGTGGCCAAGCCTTCCGCTAAAGCTCCGGGGAGCCGGCCCAGAGCAGGGGGCCCAGCCTGGGAGGGGTCCGGCGCTGCTTTCTGGGAATTCTTCACAGAGCTCCCTGGCATCCTTCTAGCAGCTGCCGGAGCGTCCTCATACACCCAGACACTGGGGGCTTCATTCTGGGTTTGGTTGACATTCATCTCTGCGACAAGCTCATGTCACCCAGGTCCAGTGGAGTAAACTCAGGCAGAGCCTCACCCTGGGGACTGCCAGTCCATGATTTCAGTGTCTCTACCCGCCAACAAGAAGCCGGTGGAAAGCTCTGCTCGTTTCCAAGACGCCAATCATTGTTCTTCTTTCTTGAGGGATGAGAAGCGGTGAAAATGAACTTCTCTCCACAAGTGTCGCTTCATGTGGCTGCATCCTGGGGACCTTTGGAGGATGTTTGGCTCAGACACCATATCATCTGTTTTTCTCTTCTGCCCCTCCCCTGCTTTTTAAACCAATATTCATTACTTTCCTTCTCCATTTCCTTTAATTTTTGAGGATGCATTACACAAACATTACACAAGCATTAAAGGAATTCTAAGTTAAAGGCAAGAAAAACCACCCCCGGTCCCACCACCACCAACAGCCAAGCTGTCTTCAGTTTTTCATCACCCCCTTCTCCTCAGAGCCACACGAATATGTAACTTTACCGGCATAATTATAGCAGAGAGACCTTTTGCATCCATTTTTAAAAACTGAACACTCTATGGTAAGATTTTTTCCATGTCATCGCATAGCATTTGAGTTTATCTTTCTACTCTTTGCTTGCTCATCCCACTGGGTGAACATAATGTACATAATTGATGTAACCATTTTCCTACACTTAATCAATAGGAATGGCTTCCAGCTTCTTACTGTTTTAAGAAAGCACTGTGCTTTTTCCCTTTGGGATTATTTCCTTGTGATAACTTCCTGAGTTTCCTTTCTATTTTTGCTTTGGATCCAGAGGTAAATGCTATCTTCCTGTTTGCAAGGTCTTCCGTGGCCTGGGCGTCTGGGTGGGAACCTCCTCCCCAGATGTCCTGGGTCGTGGGAGACAGATGGGGTGGGAGAGGGGGCACAGGCCTTTATAAGGAAGTGGAGAAAACTCAGGGCGCAACTAATTAGAAAGTGCCGTGAAGCAAGTCAGAGTTTTATGACTCTCCTAGAATTGATGATGGTTTCTGAGCAGGCCTGTTCCCTCGCAGGTGTGTGCAGCCTTCAAGACCATATGGTTTTCGGCTGCACTGGGCCCCATGCTTTGTTCAGCCCATGATCCTGTAACTGAATATCAGTTAATAACTTTTCATAATAATGTAGCTTGGATCAGCTTCGAAGCTCAGAGCTCTGTCTTTTCCAGACTTCTGCTGCCTTTCTGGCACACCTGGAGGGACAGGCAGGCCCCTGGGACGCCCCCAGAGCAAGAGTAACAGCCCAGCGCACAGAGGGCCAGCTGCAAGCGGAGAGGCCAGGGCACAGAGCTCACCTTCGGCAGTAACTGGTCTCCCTCAGGATCGGCCAGGAGGGTAGGGGTCC